GTCATTGGGAACCTTGAAAAAGAGCGTTCTCAGTGGAGTGGGCATAAAAGAGAATGAGAGGAGGGGTGCCTGCGTGGCTCAGTCAGTTACGCGTCCTACTCTTGATTTCGGTTCAGATCATGATCTCATGGTTCGTGGATTCAAGCCCCGCATTGGACTCACACAGAGCCTTCTTGGGATTCTCTGTCTCCCTCTCTCTGCTTCTCACCCGCTCACTCTCGCTCTCTCCCTTTCTCTCTCTCAAAATAAATATTTTTTTTAAAAAAAGAGAAAGAATGAAAGGAGACGAAGACAATGAAAACAGTTCTTTGGAAGAGTTTTATTACAAAGGGGAGTACTATCTAGCAGAGAGGTAGGGCCAAGAGAAGGTGTTTTTTGTTTTTTGTTTTAAAATGGAAGATATAATAGCATAGCCTGTATTTCAATGAGTTGATCTAATAGGGAAACAAGATTGCATACGAGAAAAAGGAGAAATTTATTGGTGCTTTGTCCTTAAGCACATAAGAGGAGATGGCATATGTTGAACATATTGGAGGGTTGGCTTTTACAGGAGACAGTGTAACTGCAGATGCTGGTAGATAGGTAGATATTGTAATGAACTTTTAGAATTAGAATATGTGTCCAGAAGTGGATTTACACATTTTTTATATTTTTAATGAATATGACCAAATTGCCCTCTAGAATGATTACACTAATTTATGTTCCCAACAACTTGCTTATTTTCCTGCCCCCTCATCAACACTGCATTGTTTAATCTCTTTCAATCTGAAACGGAAATACTATATTCCTTTCCACTCTTCATAGCTTCAATTCTGTCCCAAACCATTTATGTCCAGGGGCCTCGAAAGACAGAGTAGGTTGAGTGACCTAAAGTAAAGGAATGTCGGCAAGCTTGTGGTTCTCTTCCCATAACTGTTCTGATGATGAATGAAGACATTCAACCTATAGAGCTGTCAGCTAAATATCACCTTAAAATTTTAGAGATTAAGAGGGAAAAAGAAAACGTAAATCAATGTAAGGGATTGCTTTATAAGCCAGGAAATAACATTGTTCGTACTAACGGTTCTTCCTGATACAAGATACTACTATAGTATTTTATCCCCTCAGCGTTCTTTTTTTAAGTATTCTTCTGAGGACACAGAGAACTGGTAGACTATAGAGCAAAGAACCACACTGTGACCCCATACAGCCAATTCTCTATTGAAGGAACAGAGGGAAGATGTTCCAAGACATAGCATTGACCTTACTTTGAATCGCATATTAGAAGGAAGTGTATTATGCTACACAGCCAGCTTCAGCTCCCCCTCTTTTCCCGGCCATAGCCCCCCATGTGTGAACTTACAGGCTACTAGACTTGAGAAAGAAATGAACCCACAGGAGTATGCATTGTCATATTTACATTTACTGAGCGAGCGCTGTGCCAGTTACTATGGTAAGCGCTTTACATATGCTGTCTCCTTTACTCCACATAAGAGCCTGTGTGTTTTACGTACTTTAATTATCCTTATTTTATAAATGAGGAAACTGACTTACAGAGATTAACAATCTGCTCAGACACCGAGGTAGTAAGGAAAGAGGTAGGCTTCAACCCCAATCAGTATGAGTCAGAAGCCCACCCGGTTCATTACTCCCTTATGCACTGTATTTCTGTCTTCTGTTAGAATACTGTCTTTTATATAGTTCTCCACCGGAGACCTGTGAAAGAAGATCACTCTTCTTTGGGTGTAGGAAGCCTGTTTTGAAGGAGACATTATAGAGTCAGTCACTCAGGGAAGAGGTGGGGTCTCAGAAGGAAGAAGAGTTAAAAAAAAAAAAAAAAGACCTGAAAGTAGATCTCAGGTAAACAGAAGTGGAGATTTTGCGTTTTTTAATGTATATCCTTCTCTGAATCTAGATCTTGAGGATTGTCCAGAAGGGTACTTCTGAGTGCTGGAAGCTAACCCCAAAACAAAAACAAAAAGGTTTCTCCAAAAGGGACAGAGAATAGAGGTTAAGAAAAGAGAACCCAAGCAATTAATATAAGCAAATGATAAGCTGAATTACCAGTATCTGGAGTCCTCTGTGCTTATTGTTCAGGTTTTTTTTTTCCCCTTATCATTTCGTGAGATTTCCTGCTGCAGCATGCACAAGAGTAAGAATGGCAGTGCTGTGGCACCTGTGCCTCCCACTGGAAGTTCCCCCCACTATTGCCTTCGGCCAGGTTATCCATCAATTCCCAGCATTCTTGTCCGGAGCCCCAGAGGAGCCTCCACACCCCTCTCTCCCAGGCCTAACATTAAGAATGTACGGTATCTCATTCCCCTGCCCCCAATTATGGCATTTTAAGCTTGTTTTGGGGAGGGGGGGTGCAATCCAATTTCAGTAAGTACTGTTCAGTGACACATACTGAATAAAGCTGAGTCGGAGTGAGTAAATGACTTGGCCAAGCCTTCTCTTCCAGAGTCTTTCATAGCCACCATGGAATGCTGAGGTACCTGAGCACAGTGAGGTACAACTTTCTATTTCAAAAGTATTACTCGTTCTCCTTTTCAAAGGTCACAAGGCTACACTAATTAACTTGTTTAATTAAAATAAATTAACACAGATGTGTCTGACACAGGCCAAAAGACATGTATTTTAGGTTGCAACTTCAACACAGAGATGAAAGTTGTGATTCTAAATAAGTAATCCTTCTTGATGATAGGTTATCCAATCTCTAAATCAAAATTTTTGTACCATCACTGTTCTTGGTCTGCCCATTCCATCTTTGCTGTAGAATATAAGACCTTTACTTCTCCCATAAGGACATGAGCATAAAAAGACCCCAAAAGATGATCCAGTTTTCTCCCGTTGACCTGGGCCTTTCCAACAAACCCAAAATGTGTAGTCCACACATAACCCCCAGATTATCCTAGCTCCTTTCATCACATGTAAGCAGTGCTTTCCTTTTCCGAGGACAGAGAGGACAGGGGAATGTCTACCTTGGTTTATACTGAATTTGAGGCAAAGGTAAAAAGGCAGTGGTTGAGAACTGTCTTCTCCTGCAGCATCCTGCTTTTGCGGACCTCCATACCTGTGCGCATAATCTACCTAGCACACACTCCTCCCCCTCCAAGTCTTCCTGGAAAACCGGGCTTGATCCTTGAGAAATAGCCTATTCTGTGAAGCCTTTCCCCATTGACCTCCTGGCCAAGCAGAGTCAGTCTCTTCTTCTGTTCCCCTAACATTTTAACCCAATCTCTCTGTGTTTGTCACATTGTATGAAATCATTGATTTATAAATCTATTTCTCCCACCAGACTGAACTTCTTCAGAATAGAGATTTTATTTCCTTTGTTTATCCCAGCACCTCACACATAATAGCTGTTAAGTAAATGCTGTCATATTGAGTTGAATCTTTATGGAACTTACTCTCTAAATTAGGATGAGGTCATGAGAGAGGGTACGGGATTTGGTGTGGAGTAAATTCCAGGGTCTGTCTCACCCCTCTTACAGTACACACGTGGTTACTGTAATATACATATCAGTCAGGATTCAAACGGAAAAAACAAGCACTATGACACTGACAGAACAGGGAACTTGTTTTATGAATCAGACTTTGTACAGTCTTGGGCAAAGATGGGAAAATAGGTCAAAGGGGGGAATTGAAAATTCAGAAGAAAAACCACTAATCAGCCCTCCTGAAACAATGGCCTGGGTGGACAAGTTGGAGCTTGCAGGGAATTCTAGCAGCTGGAAGTGTCACTTCCAGCTGCTAGAATGGAACCATGAAAGGATGTGGGGTCAGAGGGAACTGGTGTAGGGTAGAAGTCAATGGAGAACGGCTGCCTTTGCATAGCTGCCAGCCTGGAAGTCTGCTGCAGAGTAGTTGGTGATGGGCTTGGAGTCATTCGTCAGCAGGACTGGTGGTTCTAGACACAGAGGAGGAAAGAACACGGACAAACTGAAACCCAGCGGCATTTCTACTGTTTTTTCTCACTCTGGTCACAGTGACCTTCACAAAAGCGTGGCTGCTACTTCACTTCCACCTTACAAATCTCACACAAATTTCTCTCTTGCCCAATTCTAGCCCACAACCATAAAGGGAAATGCATTCTGGGAAAGTTAGTTCTTGTGTAGCCAAATTGGCACAGTACAAAGCCACAACAATGCACCTCTACATTTTGTAAGTTGAATTTAGTTTCAATTTTAGCAGTACTCACTTAAATAGGAAAACACAGAGCTAAGAAACATGTAGGACTTTATAGTTTTTTTAAAGGCATTCTTGGGTATTGCCTAAAAACATGCCTTACTAGCACACATTTCAGAAACAAATTGTTGGTTATAAATGCTAACCGGTATTAAAATTTTTAAGGTGATTATATAAACATTTCTTTATCTTTTGATGGACAACATAGAATTTAAGTACAGTTTTAAAAATCATCTCTTGAGATCTTCTGAAAAATGACGGAAGGAAAAAGGAAGTAACATTTGTTATGTACTGTGCCGAGGATTTCTTGTGCGTCTTATTTCATTTAATTCATATACCAAACCTGCGAGGCTCCTAAAAGTGAAGTAACTCAAGATCAAATTCATGTAAAACTGCTGGAACTTCATCCCAGAATTTAGCGTAACTTATATCTCAGCCTAGGCTTTTTCTCTTGACTTAGTTGGTTGTTTACTCCTACGTTTCTAATGTCTTGTTGAAGAGGAGATAACACATATATTAAAATATGTAAAGTGAACTAATCTTAAGAGTGCAACTCAATGAATTTTTCCATATCTACCTGCATATTCGTATAATCACCACCTAGATAAAAACATAAAACTTTGCCAGTACCCTTGATTGGTTTTCCTTGGGCCGTTTGTGTTTCCCAGGTAAACTGCCTTAAATATTTGCATTTTTCGTTACACGGATGGTGTAATTCTTGGAACAATGCTAGGAGGAGGTGAACATTAGCGGTGAAGTGAAAATGTTAAATAATGTGCCTTGAATTACATCTACTTATATCACTTTCTCTGTCTGCTTTTACCCTAAAACAGGTAATCAGATCCTGTCCCTTGGGAGCCTCTCAAAAGATCAGATTTATCCAATGAAACTCAAGGGCATCTCCATCTGCTATTCAGCTCTGAAATCTGCCTTGTGTGGAAATTATGTCAGCTTTGGCGTCTTCAAGTTGTATGGGGACAACCATTTTGACAATGTACTCCAGGCCTTTGTCAAAATGCTGCTGTCAGTGTCCCACAGTGACTTGCTAGTAAGCAATCGTGCATCACGGGAGTCTTTGTGTGAAATGTGAAGTAACACCACCACAGGCTTGGAATGGTTACAGTGAAGCCCAGGGAGTTAGAATAGCACCAGAACATTGTTATGTTTTAGGACAGCATCTTGATTTAACTCGCAGAATTTGAACAACTATAGTGGCTGTGTTTCTATAATTAAATGTGCAGTTTTGAAAACTGCAGCTACCACCGTCTGATGGATCGGTCCTCCAGAGTGCTCCAGGTTCTGCATCTAGAGAAAATGTCATCAGCAATTTCAACTGATTGCTTACAACTATACTCATAATTCAAAACAGGTCTGTCTCTTGGAGCAGAAATGCAGGATCGGCTGCAGGATCTTCTCCTTCCTTCTTCCTTCCTCCTCCTATGCCCTCTACTTCCCCTACTGTTTGGCTTTCCTTTGCATGAAAATTCTGGTGTGGCGGAAGGAGTGCTGAAATCAAAGTTGAGCGTGTGGGTGCATAGTCTCAACTCTGCCACTCACTAGTCATTTACCTTGAATAAATCACCTTCTCTATTTCTCCAGGCTTTAATTTCCTCACCTTTAAAATGAGTAAATTAAACAAAGTGATCTCCAGGTCCCTTTTCAACTCTACCGTCTAGTTTCTATGATCTATGTCAGTGGTTTTCAAACTTTGAGGCCCATCAGAATCACCTAGGGTGCTTGTTGGAAATTTAAATTTCCAGGCTCCTCCACTGAGCTGTGTCATTATCACACTTTTTTTTAAACATCTCTGCTTGATTGCACAAAAGCTAATATATGCCCAATGTGGCTGCAGTAATTACTTCAATAACAGCCAAATTCATGCTCAGGTGTAGTTCAGGCTTTACCACCTGCTCCCTGCCAAAGTTGCAGCTAAGATCTAGGGGGCCTTTGGTCAGCCTGAGTCATCCTGGACAAGAATGGGCTAGTGGCACCCTCTTCCACCGTTCTAAGTCTTTATGGAACCACATCTCCAGCTAAAGTGGTTAAGCCTCAGTAGTAGAACAGAATGCTCATTGAAGGCTGCCTGTGTGACAGAAATTACAGACTAGAAACTTGACTCAGATCAACCATGCATTAACAGACACCTCACTGAGAAGACACTTCACTATAGTTGAGGTCCACCAAAAAAACTGATTGTAGCTCCAGGAATTTCTCTCATCTTTTTTCTAACAGGCAATCAAATCTCTAATTCACTAATTCTCAAAATTGAGGATGCATAGGATTCCCTTTATGTATGTAAAATGCATGTTTTAGGACCTCATTCCAGAGCTTTTCATTTAGTGAGTCTGGAGTGGGGATCAGGAAACTGCATTTTTAGCAAGCACCCCATGTGACCTCATGGAGGCGGCCTTAATCTCACTTTAATAAATACTACTCTGGTTTATTTCTCTTATGAGTGTTGTGCTTCTTTGGTATTGGCTTGAGTTTCATTTGAAGTTTTCCAGGGATCTTTCTCATGCACTTATCTTTTGCTCATAGTATATAGCAAATATTAAGCCATTGACCAAATTATGATTTAATTAGATGGAAAGGCACTCTGTAAGTACAACAGACCATGATGCCAAATCATTGAATAGCAGTTGTGTTAAAAAAAAAAAAAGGCATGCTTTACCCAAGCTTAGTAATAACCTGTCTAGGAGCCATAACATCTCCATCCAGAAAATAATTGTCTTTTTTTTTTTTCATTTAAATTTCAGTTAACATGAAGTGCAGTATTGGTTTCAGGAGTAGAATTCAGTGATTCATCACTTCTATAATAAACAGCTAGTGCCTACCATGCCCCTGTCATTCCTCCAGCATCAAACACCATCATCCATCCCCCACCTGCCCCCCCTCCATCAACCCTCAGTTTTTTCTAAGCCCTCTTTGTGGTTTTATTTCTCCCTTGCCTTTTTCCTCCACTTCCCATAGATTTATCTGCTTCGTTTCTTAAATTCCACATATGAGTGAAATCCTATGGTATTTGTCTTTCTCTGATGGACTTATTTCACTTAGCATGATACATTCTAGCTCCATCTACGCCAAGTGTAGTGCGCCTCTACTCTTTTTGATGACTGAATAATATCTTGTGTGTGTGTGTGTGTGTGTGTGTGTGTGTGTGTGTGTGTGTCTAATGCGCATTCACATCTATTCATTCATCAGTCAGTGGACATTTGGGCTCTCTCCATAGTTTTGCTATTGTTGATAATGCTTCTATAAACATTGAAGTGCATGTACCCCTTCCAATCTGTATCTTTGTATCCTTTGGGTAAATACTGTATAGTGCAATTTTGTTGTTGGATCAGTAGGTAAATCACTTTTTGTTGTTTTTTTCATATGAAATTTATTGTTAAATTAGTTTCCATACAACACCTAGTGTTCATCCCAACGGGTGCCCTCCCTCCTCAGTCCCGATCACCCACTTTACCCTCCCTCTCCCACCCCCCATCAACCCCCTGGGCTATTCTCAATGTTTAAGAGTCTCTAATGGTTTGGCTCCCTCCCTCTCTAACTTTTTTTTTTTTTGAGGAAGAATTCAGTCTTCTAAATTCCATACTACAGAATTTTATTTGCATTTAAGTGTTATCCATGTAAGGTAAAATTGAGGATACTTTCTGTGCTATATCTTCAAATTAGGATTTCTAGAGATCAAGAGATTCCTATTAGAACCCCCTTAAATACCGAATTGAGAATCATGTGTTTGTCATTTGTTCCATGTATTTATTTTATATATTTATATTTAGGTAGGTTTATATTTTCTAATATTATAAATGGCAGTTTCCACTAGCCCTTAACATGTCTTTTGCTTCCCAGTGGCTTGACACTTGGTATCTCTGTGTTTTAGCAATATCGGAAACTGAGCCAGTCTTACTATCCACTCCTGGAGTGTCTCACCCAGGACCACATGAGCTTCATCACCAACTTAGAGCCTCCTGTACTGCTGTATGTTCTCACATCTATCTCCGAGGGACTCACTACTCTTGGTAAGTATTGTGGAGAACATGATTTCCAGAGGAAAAACTTGATTGTGGTCTCTTAATGTATGTGCTTACTAAGATGATCATCCTACAGATAGGAAAAAATTATGTACCCAAACTAAGAGATTATTTCATAATTATTGCTTGCAAGTGAGAAAATGCCTTTTTGTATTTTGATGTACAGCTTAATTTTTAATCCGCTTAAAGGTATAATTTATACACATTGATTTTAAGTGAACAGTTAGTTGTTCAGTGACTATAACAAATATATATACACAGTCATGAACCATCACAACTGAGATATGGAACATTTTCTTCACCACAGAAAGCGCTCTAGTGTCCCCTTCTAATCAGTCCCTTCCCCCTCACCCCAGCCCCAAGGAACCACTGTCTACTTTCTTTCACTATAGTTTACCTTTTCCAGAATTTCATCTAAGCGGAATCCTGTGATGTATATACCTTTCTCTTTCGTTTAGCATAACGCCTTTGAGATTCTTCCATGCTGTTTTGAAAGTCAGTTTTTTCCTTTCTGTTGCTGAGTATTATTCCATTGTGTGGAATACTACAACTTATCTATTTATATATTCACCAGCTGATGGACTTTTGAGTTGTTTCCATTACTTGGTTGTTTTGTACAATGCTACTGTGAATGTACAAGTCTTTCTGTGGACAGGTAGTATTTCTCTTGGGGAAATAGCTAAGAGTGGGATTTTTGAGTTGTATGCTAAGTGTATTTTTAACATTATAAAAAAATTGTGACACTGTTTCCCAAAATGACTGTACCATTCTGCTCTCCCAGCAACGTTTGAGGGTTCCAGTTTCCCAGTAACCTCCCTAACACTTGGTATTGTCAGTCTTTTTAATCTTAGCCATCCTAGTGGGAGTTAAGACGAATCTCATGATGTTTTTAATATTTCTTTCACTACTGAATAGTGATTTGAACATCCTTTCATGCTTATGGGCCATTCACGTATCTTCTTAGTGAAGTATTTGTTTGAATCCTTTACCCATTTTTTTAAACTGGGTTATTTATCTTGTAAACATTTATTAAATATTCTGGATGCAGATCCTTTATCAGATATGTGTTTTGAAAATATTTTTTCAGGCTTGGCTTGTATTTTTATTTTCTAACAGTCTCATCTTATAAGAGCAAAGTTTTTTTTAATCTTGAGGCAGTCCAATTTACTTATTTTTTCTCTTATGGTTCATGTCTTTTGGGTCCTATCCTAAGGAATCTTTGCTTAACCCAAGGCCAGACAGGTGGTTTTTATGTTTTCTTCAGAAGTTTTATAGTTTTTGATCTTATGTTTAGGTCTGTGAACCATTTCAACTAAACTTTTTGTATATAATATTATGTATGAGACAAAAGCTGTTTTTTAGCATACAGTTATTCAATTGTTCTAGCACCTTTTGTTGAAGAATGTTCTTTCCTTATTGAATTACTTTGTGCCAATTCTATACTGTTCTGATTCTTAACTTTTGTCCTAACTTTCTGGTACATCTTGAAATCAGAGAGTATAGCCCTCTAATTTTGTTTTTCTCTATTTTTTTTAATGTTTATTTATATTGAGAGAGAGAGAGAGAGAGAGAGAGAGAACGGGAGAGAGAGAGCCAAAGAGAAAATCACAAGTAGGCACTCGGCTGTCAGTGCAGAGCCTGACATGGGACTAAATCCCACAGATTGTGAGATCATGACCTGAACTGAAATAAAGAGTCAGACACTTAACTGACTGAGCCACCCAGGTGCCTCTGTTTTTCTCTTTTAAAGTGGTCTTGACTATTCTGGGTCCTTTGTCTTTTTATATACACCTTAGTGTCAATTTGTCAGTTTCTCGTTAGAAAAAATAAATGAATAGGGGAATTTTCGTGGGGATTGCATTGAATCTCTAGCCCAATTTGGGGGCAGTTAACATATTAGCAATGTTGAACTTTCAATTCCTGAAAATGGCATATCTGTCCATTTATTTAGGTCTTCCTTAATTTTTCTCAACAGCATTTTTGTAGCTTTAAATGTATGACTCTTGTACTTATTTTGTTATATTTATAACTACGTATTTTATATTTTTATGCTATTATACATGGTATTGAATTTTAATTTCCCATTGTTTTTGGCTACTGTGCAGAATTGCAGTTGATTTTTTTTGTATGTTCACCATATATCCTTCAACCTTACTAAACCCACCTATTAATTCTGGTAGTTTTTGTAGATGTCTTAAGATTTTCTGCATAGATGTACCTACAAATAAAGACAGTTTCATCTCTTCCTTTCCAGTCTGTATGGCTTTTTTTCCTTGCCTTATCACACTGGCTAGGGTCCACAAGACAATGTTGAGTAGAAGTAATGATAGCAAACATTTTTTTCCTTGTCTCCAAGGAAATGTCTCCATTCATTCTTTCACCATTCAGTTTAAAGTTAGCCATAGGTTTTTATATAGATGCTCTTTTATCTTGTTGAAAAAATTCCCTTATTTGTGGTTTTCTGAGAGTATTATCGTGAATTAATATTGAATTTTATCAAATTATTTATCTACATCTACTGAGATGATTATATGGCTTTGCTTTTTTAATACATTACATAATGTTAATCATCACATTGATGGGTATTTGAATGTAAAACCATCCTTGCATTCCACACTAGGTTGTAACACATCCTTCTTATATGGTATTGAAATCAACTTTCTAAAATTTTGATACAGATTTTTTACATCTATGTTCGTGACAGATATTGATGTGTTCTCAGTAGTTTTTCTATAGTTCTTCTTCCATATCTTGTACTCTTTGTTCTTCTGTGTCTTTGCCTTGTTTTAGTGTCAGTCTAATGCCATCATAAAATGACTTGAGGATTGTTTCCACCTCTCCTATTTTCTTAAAAAGTTTGTGGAGAATTGTTACTAGTTCTTACTTAAATGGTTATTAGATCTCCTTTAGTGAGGCCTTTAAGCCTAGATTTTTTATTGTTGTTAGTAAGTTTTTTTAACTACAAATTAAATTTTTTCATGGATACAGGACTATTCCACTTACTTATTAGATCTGGCATAGCATTTGGTAGTTTGTATCTTCAAAAGAATTTCTCCATTTCATCTGAAGTTCATCTGACATTGACATAAAATTGTTCATAATATCCCATTGTTATACAATATGATTTGAGCAAGGTCTGTAGTGATTCCCCTCTTCCATCCCTGAAATTGGCAATTTGTATCTTCTCTCTCTTTTTTTTCTCATTCTGGCTCTAGATTGATCAGTTTTATTGCACAGAACCAGCTTTCAGTTTTCATTGAATTCTCTTTTATTTTTCATCTTTTATTTCATTAATTTCATATATGGCCTTTATTATTTCCTTCCTTTAGTTTACTTTGCTTTTTCTTTTCTTAATTTTGTCAAGTAGATACTTAGATAACTGATTTTAGACCTTTCCTCTTTGCTAATATACACATTTAATGCTTTCATCTAAGCACTGCTATAGCTATTCCTCACAAAAATTTTATATATTTTGAGATTTTTTTTCTATTCAGTTCAAAAATATTTTCTAATTGTCCTGCTGAATTCTTCTTTTATCAGTGGATTGTTACTTAGAGGCACAGGGTTTTTAATTTCTGTATATTCACAGGTGTTCCTGATATCTGTTACTGATTCTAGTTTAATTCCATTGTGGTCATAGGAAATACTCAGTAATTTTTATAATCTTTATATTTATTGCATCCTTTTTATGTTCAAAATACGATGAATGTGCCATGGGCACTTGAAATGACTGTGCATTCCACTGTTGTTGGGAAGAATGTTCTATGGTGGTCTAATTGTTCAGATATTCTATATTGTTACCGGTTGTTTGTTTTCTACTTATTCTATGAACCACCAAGAGAGAAGTGCTGAAGTCTGACTATATAGATTTTTCCATTTCTCCTTTCAGTTCTATCAGTTTTTATATAAAGTATTTCAAAGCTTTGTTACTAGATACATAAATATTTAGGATTGTTATGTTCCTTTGGTCAATTTTCCCCTTTATCATTATGAAATGACCTTCTTTATCTCTTGCAATACTCTTTCTTTTTTTTTTTAATACTCTTTCTTCTGAAATCTACTTTGTCTGATATTACTAGCCTCTCCAGCTTTCTTTTGATTAGGTTGCCTCTTTTTCTATCATTTCCCTTTTAATCTTTCTGTGTCTTTATATTTAAAGTTGGTTTCTTGTAGACAGCAGGTATTTTCTATTGCTATTATAGCAAATTTGTACAAGCTTGGTGGCTTAAACTAATGTACATTTATTATCTTATGGTTCTTTAGATCATAAATGTGACATGGGTCTCACTGGGCTATAAAATGAAAGTGTCAGCAGAGCTGTGTTCCTTTCTAGGACCAAATCCATTTCCTTGCCTGTTCCAGTTTCTAGAGACCACCTAAATTCCTTGGCTCATGGCCCCCCTTCATCTTCAACACCAGCAAGATCGCATCTGTAACCATTCTTCTATAGATACATCTCCCTCTAAGTCTGACCTCTCCTGCTTCTCTCTTTTACTTTTAAGGACCTTTGGGATTACATTGGGCCTACCCAGATAATCCAAAATAATCTCCCTATGTTTCGCTCAACTAATTAGCAATCTTAGTCCACCTGCAGTCTTATTTATTCTTTGCTGTATAATCTAACACATTCACAGGTTCTGGGAATTAGCACATGAACGTATTTGCCAAACACACAGCTTATAGGTGGGTCATATTTTTATATCAAATCTCACTGTCTCTGCCTTCTAATTAGTGTTTCAACCATTTATATTTAATGTAACTACCAGTGTATTTGAGTTTAAATCTATAATATTGCTACTTGTTTTCTTTTTATTTTGTCTGAACTTTGTTTCTTTTTTCTTTTTTTCCTGCCTTCTTTTGGTTAGGATTAATTACATCTTTCTTATGAATCCATTTTATATCCCCTATGAGTTTATTAGCCAGACTTTTTTATTTTTAGTGGTACTCTAGGGTTTATAATCTACACCTTCAAATAATATCAGCACAGT